CACTTAATCTTGCATGTATCACCTTAGAGGGAAGGGAGAGATAAGGTATAAAGGAAGTAACCATGCTGCTTAGTCTTGACTATAGCAAACAAATTAAAAAATGAAGGATCAACCCTCTTCATCTCATTATAAAAACTAATACAATCAAGTAAATAGACCTTCCTTGGTTATGTGGAATAATACAAAAACTCAGATCATGTGAATATAATAATTATTATTAATTACTTTCAAATGGATGTAGGAATCAAAGTAAAGGCCCTATGAACCATTCTCTATTCAAACTTGCACAAAGAGTTGTTATAAGTCAAAGACAAAGTTCCTTCTTCAAAGACTAAACAACAAACATAACTATGCTATTACATGTTTGGAAGATTTCCTCACAGCCCCATACTTCCTTAAACATACAGTTCTTGGACAAAGAAAACATTATGGCAAAAACAAAAGATTGCCTTAGAAACTAAGGCTTTTTTTTGGAATAGTGTGGGGTTATACGGAAATATTTCCTCGTGTTTTCAGGAGATGAATTCAATGGCCAATTCAAGGGTATAATGAAAAGTGATAAAATCACATGTATACGAAATGGGAAAGCTGGATAAGTTTGCATGACCAAATTAAAATATCAAATCATACAGGGTTCAATAAATTATGCAAATTGTTTCAGATCAGACTAAGATAACCGTATATCATAATCGTTTCATCAGTAACCGACGTGTCATTTTAAAAGCACAAAAGCAAAAGCGAACGAATGAGCTTAGGTTCGAGCGGTAAGCTGGCATACGTACTGCAGCTGTTTTTCGATCGACTAATTTTCCGTTGTGTCGAGTTTCAGGCCATATTGTAAGTAGGAAAAACGCATCGAAACAAACACACCTACCTTATATCGCGCAAAATTGTTCGGAAGAAAACTCGCGGAAAATCCTTTCCCCCAGATGCCAGAAACGCCAGAAACAGGAGAACAGGAAAAACGATGAATGGAAGCTGAAAATATACAACGATCACGGCAAAACTAGCCACAACTGCAGCCCAGATGTAATACATTTTTCTTGATTTCAAGTGACGGACAACTCGAGTTGGAAAAGACAGCTTTTTTAAACAATATGTCCCTTCCAGCATGAATCCGCATTCCACAGTTAGCACGCGCACTAATATAGTAGTGTAGAAATGCAAGTACTTTTCTCGTCAAGCAATTAAATTGATAATGTGGCGACTGTCTTCGACGATAAAGTATCGATTGTCACCAGCGGTACGATTGACTATTGATTGTCAATGGTCGTTAGGGTCGAGGCGCGGTAAATAGTTAGCACCTTAGAGACGCCTGCTCTCAAATAAGATCAATCAACTGTGGTCTTATAGGTGCATTCGATTGAATTGGTTCGCACAAGATTTCCTTCAATGAGATGATATTTGAATCCATGAAGGCGACGAAATCGAGAAGCCAAACTACCGTTTCGTTATTTTGATACCAGCATTTTCCAAAGTTTGTTGGATATCTAATTCCTGCGTCGTTTCATTGGAGGAGATAGTGAAGGGATTGAAGCCAGTTATAAATGAGTTCGGCTACTGTGACGAAAACTGTGGCAAAGAAATTGTAAGTTTATCTTTTACCTCCCTATTTTATTCCACTATCACTCGCTGCGGTGCTTGAAACAAGAGATTTACACGAGAATGTTTGCAATAGAAAAGTCTCACGAGTGTAGCATCATTTAGTGTCTTAAATTGATTATCATTATTAATTTCGACGATGAAAACAATCCAAGAGATATTTAGTAGAACTATTACCAAATTATATTTTACGAGGACTATTTTATCGAGTTTGCCTTCGATGCAGTGGCTTGAAATAACGCTTAATTTTGTGTAATTAAGAATTACGGTTAGGACCGAAGACTTCGAAAAGCCGTTGCAACATTACGGTATAGTGAAACTTCAAATAAAAGGGTAAGTTACACTTGTGAAAGGTTTCCATTTGTTTGATTTTAGTCTGGTTTCAATTTTTTTGTGAGCTTAAGTTCATAACAGAGGCACGAGACAACTCACGGCAAACGTTTTAAAAAGTAAACAACTTCCGCAGGTCTCTGTAGTGGATATAACTTGACCATAAGTGGACTGATTGATAAAATCTCAAGTGGAATGTTATTGTCTGCCAAGTTTGTATTTTTTTATATAGAGCAAAAAAGGAGAAGATTTAACACTATATGTGTTTCAGTATAAAATATAGCATGCAGTTGATTCAAGATGACTTAACACAGCCAGTCAAAAGCTAATAAACATGATCTCAGTCTCTAGGTCTGCATCAATTTGACAGAAGGTTCATATTGTTAAGATCATCTTGCAACTTTGGTTAGTTTGTGTGCCAGGAAAATCATAATCAATAGAGTAATTACAGTTTTATGTTTCTTTGCTGTGTTTTTGTTTTGTTCAAAACTTTTAGCCCTATTCAAACACCAAACTTGTCACTAGCCTAACTTGATACCTGTTTATATTGGTAATAGGACTAAGTGGAGTCCAATTCAGTCTGTAATCAGATGAGTGATTAACAAAATCAGATGATGGCAAAGCATTTGTTAATCACAAGTAACTTGAAGTCCTGTGACCAATTAATCAAAACTATGACAAAATTTGAGAAAGAAATTAGACATTGGTTATATGTTCTCACAAAAAAAACAACAACAACAATGATTAACTCGATGAAATGCCAGACAACAGTGCTTGCACATGACGCATTCTGTCTACTTACACAGGCATGACATGTTAACTGTCCTATTACACTATCCAATTACAAGCATGATGCGTACACAGACCTATTAGTGCTAAAATCGGGCTGGTGATAACCAATCACATTCAAGAATTTTGTTATAGTTTTGATTAAGTTAGAAATCTGCATCATAATGAGTAGCTATTTTGATTTTGAAATTTTCAGCTATTTTTCCCACCAGGCTTGTACAAGATTTTCAATACCTTAGACTTAACTTATCATGGGCTGAAATTGATGCATAAATTATGAAAATACATGTTCCCAAAGCTGTTAGAATTCCAGAACTGAATAAAGAAGGATTATGGATTGGCAAATTGATTTCTGTGTCTGACTTAACAGGGGGCACTTTTGTTAATTTGGTTTGGTCCAACATTAAAATCATATCAAATCATGTCATGCAGAGATTATTTATTTTATCAACCAAGTTGATTATGTGAATTGGCCACTGTAGAGAGGTTGTAGAGCAGCCTTTTTGAGCATTAACTCTTTTCAGAGCAAATCAAGCTAAGTTTGGCATCTGAACTAGGCCTTATCCTTCCTGTGATCTTACTAGGCAAACATCACAAAGAATGAAGTATACCTTTTCAAGATAAGACACTTAAATCGGCAATGATTATTTGACCTTTCTGGGCTGTATATTGATATGATGTAATCAATTGGTAGAAACACTGTTTTAAGCAGGATTCCAAAGCAAGTGTCTTTAAAAAGTCTTTGTTGAGGTCTCTTCCTTGAACAAATTGAAGTTATATTCCACTTACATAGATAATTTTTGATATCCACTCTCCTCCTGAACTGATTTACCTCAAGGAAGATGTGAACCACTTTCCCAAAAGACCAATGAAAATGAATAATATTGAAAATAATCAATTTCTTGGGTAGAAAAATGAAAGTGGTTCAGGACTTTTTTGAAGCAGTGACATGGAAACATCATATAAGGTCACTTTGCCAATTTTCTTTGACATTGTTAGCATTTATAAAAGGAAATAATTCATAGAGGAATTTGGAATTCTCTGATTAAAATGAGCAATACTCAAATTGGTAAAAGTACATTTAAGTGTAGAAAGGACTTTAAACATCCAAAAAATACCAAATATAATTTTTTTATTCTGAAAAATTTTTTTGATTCATTGATGATCATCTCCCTTTAAAGATAAATGCTGTTTCCTACTGGTTCCTTGATTTTCTGTTATAGAAATATATTGCTCACCTGTGTTCAGGATGATTAAATTTGTTTGGTAAAGTAGGGAGATTTTTTTAATGTTATGTTTCAGAAAGAAACACTATTATAACTGAGCCCAGTTCACTTTCCTCTTGTACTTTAGCTTAACCCCATGAGTGACTAGGACAGAATTTCTCCTTTCAGTATCAACTCAATAGCAAGCAGACAAGTGATGAGAATAAAGAAAATATCAGTGAGGGGATTACTAGATGACCCAAGACCAAATTCTCTCAGCTGACATCATTAGAGTTGTATGGCAGGCAGTTAGGAGAATTATGAATGAGATCCTAGGAGTGAAAGGGTTAACTGTTTTGATTCAACTTTGGTTGTAAATTTTTTTTTTATGTGTAAATTGTTTCAGACAAAATGGATATGCACAGATAATACAAATTTAATTTAGATATCACATGCCTATAGAACTTTAGAACAGGTAATGAATATTATTAGATAAATACTAGATTAAAAAAGAACTATTGATTACATTTAATCATTGTTTCACTTGGTTATCTTTAAAGGACTGTTTTCATAAATAATTAAATAATTTTCATACCTATAGGTAATCATCCAGTAGTTATTGTCATTGTTCAAGTTTGTAATTGTAAGCCAATTAACATAAACATCTTACAATTTCTTACAGTTTATTTAGAAATTGTATCGAATCAAAGCCCTCCCTGAAGAAGTTTTAGGTTGCATAGAAAAGATAGTTTTTTTCTTGTGGGTAAGCCATGGGACCAGGCTATGTTTTTTTAGAAAACATTTGTGAAATGTTGTGTAATGGGCTTCAGACTGACAATAAATTATTCATGTGTTAAAAACACATTACTCAGTGTTTCCATGGTCTCATAACTTTGCTGGATCATAATAGTCAGTGTAAATCCTGTGCAAGCTTTCAGTTAGACTTATTTTAGCAACAAGAACAAGTAATCAGACTTTGACTCTACAACTTAAGTTGGTGATTTTACCCACTGGCACTATCTGGTGTTCAATTTGATCATGATTTTAAGTGGAAGATTGTCTTTGGAATAATACATGAGGAGGACACTAAAGAGGAATTTGAATCATCAACGTTGCCCCAACTCTTGTCTGTATTTTCTAGCAGAGGATACAGACTCTGAACATGGCAGTGATAAGATGTATGATCCAAAATAAGCAATTAAGATTTTTTCTCAATAGTAGTGAAAATTAATTTGCATGGTGATGTTACCTTATTTTATGTGCATGATTTCATGTTTGTGTTTTAATTTTAATTTGGGCTCATTATCTTTTGAGCTCTTATGTTAAAATGTTTTAGATCTTTCACTGTTTTTTTTTTTGCTATATTATGTACTAGTATATGGCACATATTCTAGTAAACATAGACTACATTTGTATATGGTATTCATATACAAATGTAAACATAATATCTTGAGATTTGTTCAGTGTTATTTGATAGTTGCAGATGAGACTACAAATTTATCTGTAACTTTGTGAACACATTAAATTTGAATTTCATAAATTTAGTTACTGCTCTGGTTAATTTGATGTATGTGAGTAATGTAAGGAAATTGAGGTATGTATTAATTTTGTGCTTAGGTTGCTCAAGTGTATTTATTGTCCATTATAATTGCTGTTTGGTTTTGCTTCAGGAAGTACTATCTAGATGTACAAAGGAGAGAAGACGGTTTTGATTTATCAGGTCCATGTCATCCTAGAGAAGATCCAATTCCATTGAGAGCTGTAAGAATTTTTTGATATAAATTACTGCTTAATTGAATCATGAAATTGATAGTATAGTTCCAAGTAACATTTAAAAAAAATTGTGATGGTGGCATTCTTATTTTTCTTCTTTTCATTTTCACACTGGTGTCTACATACACTATTTAAGGTCTTTATGTATTCCTGATGTAATTAAAACAGCAGATTTATGAAATGCTAGTCTTCTTTGTGAGAAATCCTCTGATGTCATACTAAAGATATGTTAGAATTATTGATATTAACTTGGTAGGAATTATGTGCAACTTACATGTAATAACTTGTTAAGGTTTCTCCATAATTCTACAGATTCCAACTAGAGTAGGTAATGATGTTTTATCTGTGTGTATCTACATGTAACTTTCTCTAATCGTTCTCCATAAGCCCTTTTATAAATGAATATATTTAGTGTGTTGAAGCACATTTTTATCATGCAAAAAATGTCTCAAAGTTAACCTCTGAGACTTAAGCCTTCAATTAATTTCTGTCTATGGTTATCTTATCATTTCAAACCTAGGGTCCAACACTGGACTATGATGGGATCCATGACAGGAGCTTAAAACACTATTTCCACAGTCCTAAAATTAGAAGACAGTTACAAAACATGTACACTGTAAAGGACCAAGACTCCAGGGAAGGTACTGTGAGGAACTTTATGGATCAGACCATGGCATCTGTAGACTACAGACTCAAGCCTGGACCAATCTCACCATATGCTTTGCCACAGACTGTACCACCACAACCTCCTCCTCATAGACCACACGCTACAATGTCAGTTGATCAGTACATGAAGACAAAGAGGGGTGCTAAAAGAAGGTAATTGAAGTGGTGGAATTTGGTTAAGTCCATATCTGAGCCCCGACAGGTTTTTTGTGTTGCTTTCTTGGTACAACACTTTCCTAACCGAGGATCTTTCTGCACTAGCAACAAAGTCGTTTATTGAGACAATTTTTTTGTCTTCAGCAACATTTTACAAGTGTGGATGGTTTTTTGCAACTTGACAAATTTTAGCTGAAGCAGACAAATCTTCAAACATACCACCGACAAAATATCTGAGGGGTAAAAACTGAACAAAATGGACTAAATAAACAAAACCATGATAAACTTGTGGACCATTTTCATAAAAGCTACCATGAGGGTGTCATTATGGAATTGTGCCCATCAAAAATGAGGTTGCAAAAGCTCAAAGCCAGCTTCGGTCTCTTAAGATCTGAATTGACGAATTCCCAACCAGGAGTAGTAAAATTTTGCTTTGTGTCTGTTTAGAGACAATGGAGATACAATCAGAGCAATTAGTATTGTTTGAAAAATATGAAAGTGATGTTGTTATGGTAAAGCTGAGTTGGAACTGAGCGTGTACTTCCGTGGAGTGGGAATTTACAATTTATGCTTAAGCTTTTCAAAAAGCAAATAGACTTTACCAACTTGTTGTCTGAAACTGACAGTAATGATGGGCTAAAAAGGAGTATTTCTGTAATGTTATTTTGCTTTTATGGGGAAATTGATGGTCAAACCTCGTAAATCTGCCACATTTCAGTCTGAACACAAATTAAAAACCCAACATTTAAAAGGTAATTTAATTTTACATCTGACCAATTTTTAAACAGTTTAGCCTAATCAAGATAACGCTACTAATTATGTCTATTCTTTGATGAATAGCACTATGTTTTGGTTGTCTGAGCAAGAAACAATACTTGCTAACACGGTGTACAACGGGGATTACATGATTGACAGTCGGATTGACAGGCCTGCGTGAAGTTATGCATGCTCTCTTTCTCTTTTCTAGCTTATTTGCATTTTCCTGTGCAACGTTTTTCAATGGGCATGATTCCGTAATGTATTGAACTGAAATCAGTTTACTAGACAGGCAAAAATTGTATTTTCTTGCAAAACTCTGGGATTCTAAAATTTTAAAACAACTTTGAATAAATCGTGCAAATTGGATGTGGAATCCTTTGGCAAACTATGTTGGCCAGTCTTATGAACAGATCAGGCACTGAGGGAATTTGAGAAAGAAAAATTTGTCCTTTGATTTTGTTGGGACAATTCTAGTATTGTCTGCTAGTGTGGAAAGGCCACTAGTGCCTCTTTTGACCCTTGATGTAGGAGTATCATGAGTGCTTGAAACCTGTCAGGGAAACTCCAAAAATTGTTAGGGGGAGAAGCAATACTCTAGTTGCTTCATTTTCTATAAAAGAAGAACACAATACCACAAACCTAGCTATGCCTCAATCCACTCTTGGGTAAGTTACACCACCTTTCTTTGGCTACTTTAAATGACTAGTTTAGAACTGTTCACGAAAGCTTGTAAAGTGCATTGCAGGGATGAAAAATGATAAGCTTCCTAACCAGAAAAAGTGAAGAAGATTCTAATTATCATCTTAAGTGTAAGCATTTTTTCATGTTTTATTATTGTTTTCTTTTAGGAAAATCCCTCCAAATGTTGTTGGAAGACCAAGAAGAATTGCCAGACGATCTCCTCCCCAGCATGTCAGCCGAGATGAAAGAGAAAGACTAGTTGACATGGCAACCAAGCTGATTGTTGCTACGGTAAAGAAAAGGCATCACATAAGCTAAAACTGAAGCTCTAAATGAAACTTGATACTCAATGTAATCTTTGTTATTTTAGGAAACAGTTGCTTTACCTGCCACCAAGAAACAAAGTAAAGGGTTTCAGGCATCAGACAAGGTAAGCTATCCACACCAAGGATCATTTTGTCTTATTTGGCCTATATACACCTAAACTGTGTTACAGACCAAATAACTAATAGGCCAGCTTAAGAATTATTCCTTATTCCTTCCTTTTAGTCTTGGGTTTGTGCATCTTCTCTACTCCATTCTTCCTTCTTAGTCTTCTTCCTTCTGTCATTCCTTCCTTTTTTTTTTTCTCCTTCTTGCCTGTGTACCTATACTGCATTTTACATGTACCTACCTTTGTATTTACCAGGCCATCTTCCTAAACTGCTTCCATCCTTTCTCGGCCTTCTTCTTTTCATGAAGTTAACTGTGTTAGTGCACATCTGACTTTCACTAATCACATACATAGGAAATACCAAGACTTAAAAGAGAGAAGCAACGTCGTGCAGCAACAGAGTCTTTCTCGTCAGGTACATGATATTGTAATCAATAAAATGTGTTAGTCTTAAGTATTTTATCAGGATAGGCAGCTCACATCATGCAGATTAGAGTTCTCACATGTAATTTTTGTTTACACAGATTCTGAGACTTCTCAGAGAATTTCAAGGCGCCCTTCTCCACCAAAGGTTAGCATCAATAGATTTTTCCATAAATTCTTACATTTCTCAAACTTTACATCAAGATCATGATGCCTTACCTTATTACTACAAAGGTGACACAGGCACTTCTTCAACAAGAGACTTGCAAACCAGTTGTGGATTAAAGATGATTTACTTGTGATGCTTTTAAGTTACTGTTTTTCTGATGCATTCTCCATAGGCCAAGCCTAGATCAGCACCACCAAGAAGACCAGAGTCATCATTTTTCAAGTCCTCCCCAACTGGAAGAGATGGAAAGAAACTCACCAGGAGTGGTGTTCATGTTGTACTGCCAGGAGGATCACAAAGTGATGATGATGATGAGCGACTCAGGTACAAGTAACACCAATAGGAATTTAATGGTGTTTTCCTGACAGAAAGTTGTTAAAAATGGGGCTTGAATTTGTATTGAACTCACCAATTTGGGAATCTGTATTTAGGGGTTATTATTAGCAAGCTGTTAAATTATTATTACTCGGTGTTTATGGTCTAATGTGTAACTGGACAAAACATTTGCAGACTGGCGTAAAATGATAACATGCAACTTGATTTTAGTTGAGGAAGTGCTCAATTGATATTGTTATGTTGGACATCATTGATCTCTCATGTATGGTTTTAGAAATCTGTTCGTCAAATAATAATTATCTGGGTTTTTTAATTTGAATTATGCAATACTGGGCTTGATCTTTATGTAGCATAGTTGCTTCAATTGATTTTTTTAGATCCCTTGTTGGACGCATGAATTTAGATGGACAGGGTAGCAGTGTTATGGTATCACATCACCAGCCTAAAGACTTGCGGCCTAAGAGTGCTGGCTTGCCACTGAAATCACAGGCTGTTGGACCAGATGAAGAAAGCTATGATGATGACGAATTTGAAAGTGTTGGATCTCCAAAATTATCATCAACACGTACACCGAGGATGTCATGGATGGAGACAGAACATGACATGATTGACATGTCAACGCAGACAGTTGTCCATTCAGGTAATAGAATGGGTAATATTATTTTTTCTCTTTTGCACTGAAAATTGACCATGAACTCAGAAGGAAGGCTTAGATATGAAATAAAACAGGATGTGGTCTGTCCCGTATTTTTGATTGAGCAGGAAATTGGTGAAGAACAGGGCAGTTATCAGCAAAAGGTGTTTAAAGAAACATTGAATTCACATACTGCAGTGATAGGTTATGGGCCTTTCTGCAAAATGGGGGCTAAAAATTACAACCATTTTATTTAAATTTACAATGGAACTTTTTTACAGGCAGAAAAGTTAGCCTAGACTTAATTTCATAGAAAAGTCTGTTATGTGGTCGTTTGGGAGTCCTTGAAAGCTGTGTCCTTATTTCCAGGAACACAAACTGCCAAACAAACCGATGATGATGATGACCAAGTTGAACGGCAAATCATCTTACCTCCAAGACTGACACCAATTGTAAGAGACAGCTCAGAGGAAGTCAAAGAAGTGAGTGTTTCTACAGTCACGGCAACACAGGGTGCCAGTACTGCAGACATACCAACATCTACCCCTCTTTCAGCCGAGACACAGACAAGGAACAGAGACCTAGAGCCTAAAGGTGAGAATATGCCAATTATCAGAATATTTTTTGAGTGATAATTGTATAGTTGGGCATCCAGTGTTGTCTTCCATGTGAGGCAAATGGTCAGGTGTTCGCTATTCTGCAATCTCAACAAGTGACTCTAGTCCCTCTTAAAGTTATTTTAGGTTTAATGCATCTGATTTCCCCAGTTGCTTGTATGTCTTGATGGAGAACGTTGCATGATTTATTATTTCTAGATGCCTTTGGATCTCTCATAAAAGGAGAGTGATCTCAAATAACTTTTGAGGAATAAACTTACAAATAAAGCCATAGGGATTTCAGTCTCTTAGCTTGATTATCTCTTTGGTGAAATATATCTTTGACACTGAAGAGTGACATAAAGCCACCAATGTGACCCCCCGTGGAGTATAGTATGGAGTATGTAAGCCCTCTTTTGAGACTCTCTCTCAATCAGTGCTTAGAAAGGCCTTATTCTTGTGTCATTTGTGACAGTCATCCGCTATCAGGAAGGGCAGTTTATCATTCAGGAAAAAGCTGATTTTTAATTTCAACACTTGTCTTGATTTACAGTACTAACATATGAAGTTTATGTCCTGACGGGTGATAAGCTTGGTGCTGGAACAAAGGCTACAGTCAAATTAACAATATTTGGAGAATACGGCAACTCAGGCGAGAGGCAGCTGCTACGATCCAGAACACACAGGACAAAGTTTCAGAGAGGACAGGTGAGATTAGGGGTGTGGTCGAAAGGGGGGTGCAGGTCTCTAGGTAAATATACCCTCTCTTTGTTGGAGGGGGAAGTAGTCATTTACAATGACCAGACAACCTAGCATGCTGGTAGATTGGACGAGCACACTCCTCCACATTTATTGGAGAATTCTACCTACTGTATACTATAGAGATGAAGGTCATGGTTTGACTGGGAATTACTTATATCAGAGAAATTATTGATAGGAAAAAACACCAATGGCTTTTAATGAACTAGCAAAAAGTTTTGCTTTCTGTTAAAAAAAATCTTTTTCGGCGAAAAAAAAAGCAGAATATGTCAAAAGGTATGGAAGAACGAAGATGGGTAATACTGGAAGAGATTTCGACTTCTAACGGTGAAGTTAAGAACTTAAAAGAACTTGACGTTATTGAAAAATAGGAAGAACAAAGGTTTTAAAGAATAACACTTGCTTCATGTTGTTGGTATTAGTTGCTATATGTAGTATGATCTTCAAAAAGGTTTGAACCTCGTGTATGAATGTTATGGCACTTGATTTCCAACAGAGAAGGAAATTTTTTGGCCCACCATTAAACGAGCGGGGCCAAGTTTACATTTGAGAAGAATATACGTATGATTACCAGTGACTAAGCACTATAACTCTGCTCGACTAATTCTTCTTCTGCACGTCCGTTTTTCAGGTGGATATCTTCGTCATAGACTCGGTCTTTCTTGGAAAGTTATCGAGTATTAGAATTGGTCACAGCGAGACAAAACTTGGTACGTTTCGTAGAAATCTGTCTCTTTTACTCTTGACTATGTGTGTTTCTCTATTTCATATTTCATTATTGTTATTAATGAAGCTCCTAGGAAGTTTTTTTTTTTTGGGAACAACGTTTAGAAATAATTTCACGAACTTGTTTCCTCTTCGTAGCTTTGTTAAGTAACTGAAAAATTGCACTTTTTGTTTTTAGGTTATGGCTGGTTCCTGGAGAAGGTGTTAATCAAGGAGGGCACCGAGGCGACAAGAGCATTTGAGTTCCGTTGCAGCAGGTAAAATTCAAACATGAAAGTACAGTCGTAGAACAAGTCTACATTTGATTTTCGCTCAAAATCTAAGTGACCCACTTCATGACCTTTCATGATATGTAGTGCCGAAGGTGACAAATATACAGACTTTTATTTCAATCAGTCCACACTAACTTATTGAACTGAAGGACCCTGATTCTACGATTGTCTCACAAACTATTATGGACTGATACTTTGTTGATACCTAACTGGTCACTAGTTTATATCTGTTTTATCTCATTCGCCTTTTTGTTTTTTTGGTAGATGGTTGTCGTCACGCGATGACGATGGGCAGATTATTCGAGATCTTCCAACCTCCGACGTTATTCCAGGTAATCTTACTTTTAACGCGAGCGGTGTTTCTGTTACTCAAAAAAAATGAGTATGCACTGGTGAGAATTAGCTTAGAAGCTTACGTGAAGGTTAATGCAAAGGGGTGAATTTTTTTTAGCCGAAGTAAGACTTCTCAGAGGAACTTGAAAAGCTCTCCCTTTCTCACCATGGGAAAGTTACATTAAAGTCTCAGTTTAGTTAAAGTAGATTTATAGTAATCGGAGTGGAACAATTGTGGCCCAGATTCTAAAACAGGCTATTGGTTGTGGAGGTGCTCACCCCACCACTCCAATCGTAGGCTCATGTTTTCCTCTTGGGCCAGCCCCTTTTGACTATCCTCTCTTCCTCTTCGTCAAACAGTGCGATGTTTTGCGCTATCCTGTGAGTGTATCGTCGGTTATTAGTATACCCAGTAAGCTTTTAAGGATAGGGCGTGGCTAGGGATGAGGGGCTCGTGAGATACACCCGACTCTCTCTTTGTCAACTTGGAATACCCCACAATTGCCAATAATACTCTATTGTTGTACCCACCCTGCTGGAGAGATTGCTATGAATTTTTCAATTATGCAGTTTTAAAATTATTTTTTATTTAATTAGATTTCTTTCTTTTTTTTCTGTTGTGGCGTACAGCATCACATCTTGTTGCTGTGTTACCCAGGATCGACGAGAGACAGGACGACGACTTTTACCGAAGTGCAAGCGAGAGCGACAGCTTTTCCAGCGGTGAAGACGAAGATGGTGTTCCTGCACCTGATTTAAGAGAAGTCAAAAAGAAATCAAAAAGTAAAGCTGATTCACTGAGGGAAAAACCTCCGATAAGCTCCAAACGAGCCAAACCTCCCATTCCTGTGCAATCAGCGAACAGAGATGAAAATGCTTACGGTCGATTTGTGGCGGTTAAAGCTGGAGATCTGTTTGATGTCAGCGAAGGAGAAGAGGAAGAGGAAGGAGAAAATCCCGAAGGACAAGATGAAGAAAATGAAGACGAAAAGGAGAGGTTCTTCCAACCTGAAGAGGAGAATGAGGATTCTGACGATGAGGATGCGAAGGAGAACTCTAGGAAAAATTCAAAAAAGCAAAGAAACAAGGGAGATGAAAATGCCAGCGAAAGCGAGGAAGAAGAAAAGGAAGAGGTTGGAAAGGATGACGAGAAAAGGAGGTTATCAAAGAATGGTTCGGATCAATTGAGGCTGGTCACCACGTCTGTCTCGAAATTCAAGAAAAAATCCAAGAAGGAAGATGCCAGTCCGGAGATTGGGTTGGAAGAGGAAGAGGAGGAGCAGAGTGGAGAGAATGAAGAAACGGAAGAGAAAGAAAATGCTGTAAATGAGGAAGAAGATACGGCTGAAAAAAGAGATGAGGAGGTAAAGGACGAAGGCGAAGACAAAGATGAAGACGAAGACGAGCCTAGGGTCGAGTTTGCTGGTGACGCCAAACCAGAGGTAAGGTTCTCTTTTATTTTCGTATCGACATTACTTCTTAACAGTTGTCAACATGGTTGTAGCCTTTCTCGCCTTTTAAGCCAAGGAAGGCTTGAAAGGCGAGAGGGAAAGAGAGGAATTGGAAGGGACAAGAAAATCCCTTAGCCTATCCTTAAACACCCCCTACCGAAAGCAAACGAGGCGGCTCGTCAAACTTTGGAAATTTCATGAAGTTAATTTACTTTCCAGATCAAATCGCCTGCTTTTAAAGCTCGTGATGTTTGTGGGTTTGAAACTCGCTATTTGTAATAGTTTCTGAAAAGGTGAATGACTCATTTAGAGGAATAACGAGGGGTGCAGTATGTTTCATTGAAAGTTTAACAAATTCACGTATGTAAACCACGATTCAATTAACTTTCAAGTTGAAACTACTAGACTAATACTGAGCTTATTACCCTTTGTGTATAATGATCTTACGAAAGTAACACATTATGAAACTTTTTCACCAGCATGAACGTGACCGACCCGTTTCTGCTCAAAGTGATGATTTTGTTGAAGGCTTCCGAGCGGGAGTTCGCGCAAAACAAGAGAAAGAAAGAGAACAACACAGACACTCTATCAGCGAGAGTGAAAATATCTTGAGAAGAGGTTTGTACGCTTTCTTTGATGTAACTTCGTAGTCACTTCCAAAGAGGAAATAAAATGTCTTCGTTAGGTGATCAAACGAACAGAGCCATTTTGGCTGCAATGTACATATGTCCGTGTCTCGATGACAGATTGATTTATCGGATACAAAACACGCAGTCAACCAATCGAGTTACTAGTATGCCGCGGCCAATACCAAGCGCGGGAAAACACGTGTCAGACAGGTTGATATATGATGACGTAGATAACTCAGCGCTGATTTCAATCTGATGAGTTTCTTTTTTGGTCATTATATTATCTTTAGGTGCATCCATCCACGATGCCTCCAAAGAGGGAAAGCTTGAACGTGTGAAGGAATTGATAAGAGTGGTGCCGGCGATGAAGAACATGACAGATGAACGCGGTTTGAACCCACTTCATATAGCAGCTGCTAATGGTCGACTAGATTGTGTTAAGTGGCTAGCGGTCAGCGGTGTAGACTTAGGCGCAGAGACTCCGACTGGCTATACCGCCATGCATCTGGCAGCTATGAATGGTCACGTGAACTGCATGATGGTTAGTCATTCTTTCTTACACACTCTTGTCTGCGCTATTTCTCTTAATTCAGTAAAGATGTTTGGAAGAAAAAGATGAGATGTTTACACCTATTTATCTTTAACCATTTCAAACCACATTAAATTGTGTTAAGCGATTAACGTCAGTTTTCTCAAAATTTGGGGACCTGATGACAGAAAGCGACTAAAAATTTGTTTCTTTGCACTTCACATTGGGAAACGAGGTGGCTTGATAACTTCACTTAGGTCTTAAATGAAAATTTTGACTAAAAGATGAACGGATATTTGAGTGATAAGCCAAATTTCACGATTTTACACTGAATGCCTATAACTTTTCTATTATTTACCAAAAATTGCTTTTTGTGTAATATTTCCTTCGTTCAGATTCTGTCGGCCATGGGAAGTACGTTGAGCTGCAGAACAGTGGACGAACTTACTCCCCTCCATTTGGCCTGTATGAGGTATGTTGTCACCGCGATTCAGCTTTACATTACAGGGCATTTTTGCCGTCTTTTCGATGTTGTTTGCTCTACTTCCTGACTGCACATTTAATCGTCCAATACATTACAGGTGGGTGTCGAAAGGAATCCGGCTCTACTGATTTTTCTTAAGTGCAAATTTGCGATTATTCTACACAACTCTAGCGCCCTCTCAACAAACCACCCGCGAAGGGCCGGTTACGTGTTTAATTTGAATTCTCTTTGGTTGCTTGTGATAGAGTACTTTCTAATTAATTATCGAAAAACCAAAACCAAAATAATCACATCAACCAATCAGCACAAAGGTTAACATCATCATTAACCAATGAAAACTCTATTTAAGAACAGACAACCTGCCTAAAGCGCGGGAAAACGCCAGTGACCAAGTTGGGATTGCTCTTAGTTTTATATCTGATTGGTTGAGACGTTGGCCGATTTTTCTGGACCAATCACAGAGCGAAGTAAAGCAAAACCAAGGCAATCCTGGTTTACTTTCGACTCTTCATTGAAAGTGTCTCTATGAACCATTATTCTGATTGGCCTGTAGAGATTACATCGGATTCCGTATTGTGACATTCGGTCGAAAGACGCTCTGACGAACACTGTTTTTTTCATATTTGCAGCGGGTTTGTAGAGTGTGTTAAGTGGCTGATCGCCAACAGAGCGAAGGTGGACGTTGTTGATAACAATGGACGAACCCCTCTTGACATTGCAGAAGTAAGCGTTTAATGGACTTTTATCTTAAGATCACTTCACAGTTCGCACATTCTACAGCTACAGTGAATCTAGTTTGAATATTTTTTGAGAACAAAGAGTTTAATTGAATTCTTTGTCACAAAGATCAACAGGCGTATGCTTTCTCTTGGCGAGGAATATTTAATATAGATTGCTTTCGTTTTTTTGTAGGATTATGGACACGAGGAGATAGTGAAACTCCTGAAGAAATTTCGTAAGTTCTTGCTCTAGTTATAGTCACTATTTGTCTAATCCTTAGCCTGTCAAAAATCTGGACACTTAAGTCGTGAATTGATTTTCCATGCTATGATGGAAATTTCTCTTTCTCGCGATAAGAACTCGTTTGAGGTAATCTCGCTACTCTTACCGGTTAAAAAATAATATAATTCATACATATTGTTTTCGGGATATTGAAAACTTTGCCTTCTTAAATTCGAAGTCAAATCTGAAATTTTAATCATGACATTACTTGTTGAATGCCAATTAATCGCGTGGAAGCTCTGGTTCCTTGTCAGAGAGTTTGCCGCAATTAGTGTTTGTCATGTGCTGATAATGGCTATAAATTTATCGTTGAATCAATTTACAACAAGGTCAGGTTGAGGCCAAGTCTTACGAGTCTGCAACTGCTTATCATTGCTAGAGTTTTTCGGTTTTCTTTAGTGATGCTAGTGATGCTAGTGATGCTAGTCTATACGAGCCAACACCCTTGACGCTTGACAGTTTTCCAGTAGCCATTTGCACCCGCGAGATGAGATAGACGTTGTGAGAGTTCAGTTTTCTTTCTCTAGAACACAACACAATGACCTGGCGGTTAGGGCTCGAACTTGGACATTTGATTCTAGAGTTGAGCGCGTGAGGCGATCTCGCCTCAACAAATAATCCCACAATTAACGTGTGCATAACATTCTTTTAGAAAACGAGCTTACAAGACAGGATAGCACTCTCGCTCAGTTGATGACTAGCGAACACAAGCGAAGGAAAAGGTAATCACAAGTATACCATTTGGCATTATCTGGTCTGTACTCTTGGCAGGGAACTGTTCAGGTAGTTGTTGGACAGGATATTTCTGGGTTGGTTTTACACTGATTTTTGTCTTTGCCATTGTAGTATGGAGTCTGTAGGAAGTGACCAAGATGGCGGTGCACCATCCAAAGTGTCAGACAGTGGAGTCGGAGGACTGGAGAGTGGAGAGGATAGCTGGATCAGTGATACTGAGGTTAGTGAAACAAAATCAATTCATAATTGTCGGTTTGACTGTCTGTCTGGATCTGTGTATTTAGATGTCTTTCTGTCAATCATTCTACAAGTCGCTCAACCAAAAGGCGAGTGAACAAAGCGTAGTTGTCTAGAATATCATGATAGGCGAGAAAATCTTAATTGTGGCAGATGGGAACATGCGATGAGGACGTGAATATCACTCGAAACAAGGATTTTCTAGGAAGAGATTTGCTTACTGACAGGCTTATTTTTCCTGATATCTGGCAAAACCCATTGTTTTAACGTTATTGACTTAAAATAACTAACTAACCTGACGAAGGAAGGACAGAGAAAAACACCAGTCCGTGTGGTTTAGGTTTAACCTACGTATTTTCTTTCCTTCAGGAGGACTTAACAGTAGAGGGAGGGAAGGAAAATCGCTCTGAGTCAGCGTCAAGGAATCGCCCGGGCTCTGGAACTGAGCGACCTACTTCAGCGTCACGTGCTCGGACAGACTCAATGACGACGATGGAGGTGAGTGGACTGGGTCAAACATACTGTGTATGGTGTATAATGTGTGTAGTGGGAGAGCAAGTCTTCCCCAAAGTCCTCTAGTTTTCTTTAGTTCTCCAGATCTTCTGTTCTCTAGTTTTCCTCCAGTTCTCTCGTTTTTTTCTTAGTCTCCACGCATATGATCGGCGCTATTTTTTCCTGTTCTTGAGGAAACTTCTGATTCGACTTTAACTAACCTTGGACCATTCATATGAGGGCGTGGCAGCCTTTTCTTTCTCTCGAGAATAACAGTCATTCCTCAAAGAAAAGAATTTGATTCTCTTGTGTTAAAAGTACGGACGTGCATGAATGGAAACTCCATTCGGAAAAATAGTTCTCAGTGACTATAACTGATTGACGGACGTGAATAGAAGTGACAAAGTTATTATTTGTTGCAGGACAAAAAGAAGAACTTTGAGAAACAAAAAGTTAAAATGCAGAAAAGGAACTCGAGCTTTTTGGACAGCATCAGGATGGAAGTTGACAACGAGGAAGAATTTTAAAACTCTTTAGTCTGCTTCTATAAGTGATATCAAGACTCAGCTCCGATAAGCACTTTCGCGACTTGTTGTTAGCCAACAGGAGAAAGAGAAACAAAAACAAACTGATCCAATATTGAGAATATCAAATCCCTTTCAGCCGGATGTATCACCGAGTTCGCAGAAAAAGGCGCAAAGAGTTGGTTCAAGTGGAAGGCGACACTAAAGGCCCAGATTGAATTTATACAGAAAAACTTCAACTTAATATATATCTCTATATTTGATAGGTGCATTAGGCGCCAAACTGTGTATATTGAACATTGTGTAGGTTACAGACTAATAGATACTTTATGATCTTGTAGGTTTTAGGAGTTTTGAAGAACATATTTCATGTGAAAAATTCGTACGCAGAGGTTTCAAATTTCTGATGGGATTCTAAGAGTGCCCGTGTGTAGTGCACAGCCACTTTTATACATCCAACTGTGGCAAGAGGCCTACTTGTAGCGTAGGTACATTTTTCACTATGTACCCGTAATAATGCCAAGCCAGTAGCTGTGCGTGGCGTCGGTGATTCTTCAGTCTTGGACGCCGTTTACAGTCATAGGAATTTTTTTCCGCTCATAGACTCAAAGTAGTAGCTAAACGCGTTATTCGAGTATCGCCTAACATACGATTGCTCTGTTATGCGGTTGTCTAATTTTTCGGGGATACGGAACAAGATGTGTAGATATAAATTTGGGGAATGCTCCGTCACTGCATATCATATATTACATGTACTTGGTGAGATGAGGCCATGAGGCTTTCTCATATGTATGTAGCGCGGTATAAATAAGATTGCTCGGAAATGCTTACTCTTCAGGAGTTACAAATACATTTCTTCAAATTGCCGAGTGATGATCGTGCATCGGTCTATGTAGTCGATTATTTATTAGCAACGAATAACGTCATCATGTTCGTTGCATCTAAATTCCACATTACAAGTATAATGATTTAGGATAGTCTCCCTAGTGCGTTGCAATATTTGCTTTTTGTCCATCGATTAGGAAATCATAAATGGAAGACCTGGTTGATCGTGAACAAGGTGTTTTAACTTTTGTATAATAACGATGAATTTTCAAATAAAAGACTTGTAGAGACAGTTCCACTAGTCCGCTCTATCTAGTAAATATACTACGAACTGCATTCTCGATTCATTTTATTTTTTCTTTAGTGACCAGCGAAGCTCTGCAAATTTCAGCTAAGGCAAATATTTGAGAATTGCGATCCTATTGTGGATTTCCTAACGACTCTGTAAGTTTGCAGCCCATTTAAGTCTGTCTCATCACGTAAATTCTGCCCATACTATGGCGCACATTAGCCTCCCCAACTGGGAAAGAAAAAAAGCAAGTGCAAAATCTCGTAAGATCTACTAATGTCAAATCGACAACTTCAGAAGTGACTTTCTCTCTTATTTTTTAGCATTGCCGTTACATATTTAACTCACTGAAAAGGCAATAACCCCATGAACGTGGGGGGGAGGAATTGTTTGAGACAGGATACGTAAATGCCTGACTGACAGGTGTCCATCAAAGCTGTAAACTGAGGCAGTTCAATCTGTTGAAATTATCTACTAAATATCCAGTACTCTCAACCTGTACTGAATTTCCGTGTGAAATGGCAGCGCAATCTGACAGCGAATTTCGCCCAGTAGTAACGGAGACCCCTCGAAATGTGGTAGGTCGATGTATTATCCTTTAAGATTAAGCATGTAGATAGCCCAGCTTTTGTTGGCCATCTGCTATACCAAGCCTGAGTTGAGATTAACCAGATCCGCGTGCTCCGTAATGGGCGGGCTTTTTTTTTTACAGCTGCCTGCAGGTTTAAACAAGCTTACTTGTGTCCCACAATTAACATTCAGGTGCTATCCAATTTTCGCTATTGCAGCCAGATTTTCCTCGCGGATCAGCCAAATATTTAACTCAGTTTATTCCGACTTTTCTTCCGAAGTATTTGAGCCCCCAGCGAGGGCAAAATTAATTCATTTTGTTAGTTTTGTACTTTCGGTTCACAATGATCGTCTAATTTTTCGATGTTTCCGATTTCTTTCCCCCAAACATTTTTATCGCCAGCCCGAGAGGTCTAAAACTTCATGATTGTAATTGTTAATTAGATAAAAATCTGAACTTTGTTTTGAAATCCTTTGTGTGAGGTCTTCATAGCAAATGTCTATTCACGTGCTGATCTGGATTTTCTTCCTTTAGAATATTTTGATTTTTACTCCACTGTATCTAAGAATGTAGACTTGGAAGCGGAGAAAACGAGGGCCTTATTGCATATTAAAGATCGAGCAGTTAAATACAGCCCAATTAATTTCCAAGAATACTCAAAATTTGCACGTGCAAAACATTGAAAAGAGTCTTCACACCTTGGAAGTAATCAACGAACTTCTTCTCAAAATCAAGATTCAACCCTTTCATGAGGATTGACTTCACATTTATTTCAAACCTACAAGCCACACATACATTTTACTTCTAAATGTGAGTACTATGAGTGAAATTCATGGTGATATTCAAGGCAACTGTGAAGTAAGAGTAAAATTTCCTTGAGGGATTTGTCTCCAAGGCTAATTAGTTGATATTGTTGTGTGGATATAATTTTTCGTACATTTTACATCTTTGTTCTGGATTACATTAACTCCCAAGAAACAATTATTCTTGCAACTAAATCCTGTATACTTCCTTATAATTAAGACAGCAAAATCCAACTTTAACCCTTTCACTCTCAAGATCTCAATAATAATTCTCTTTACTGTCTGCTGTACAATTCTTATAATGTTACTTTGGAGAATTTGGTATTAGATCAACTAATGATCACCCAATGGATATTTTTATTTATTCTCATCACTTGTCAACTTAATATTATTTGGTTTTTGTCAGGAGAAATTCTGATTTGGTCACTCATGGGAGTTACAGGATGAAATCAAGATAACACCCTCTGGTCGACAAGCTCCTCTTTTCTCACAACCAATTATTAAGATAATGTATTGGAATCACAATGAGAAATTACAAGTTAATCTCTTCTGGATGTAAAAGGATTCATTTTTAATTGTTAAAACAGTATGTTCCTTATCAAATTGTGATGCTTCAAAATTTAATCAGTTTTCCCAGAAATAATGACATTGTAGACCACAACTTTTGTTGATTGGCGTTTTGTTTTAGAACATCACTTGAAAGTCGTAATATTTTGTTGTTTTCTGTGTAGTGATCCACGCTTAAGGTTAAAAATAATTACTAAGTTAATTGCGCCACTTTCATCTTAATGCCTTCCCAGGAGTTGAACTTCAGAAGCACACCTGTACCATTTGAATTTCCAGAGGCCATTCTGTCAACTCCTCTGTCTTCTGCAATACCACACAATACAGCAAGAATGGAGTCAAACTGTAGAGTGTTTAGTCCAATTCCTTTTCAGTCCAGGGTTCCCACTCCATATCCTCTGTTTGACCCTGCTTCTACTGTAAAAGGTAAGGCTTGAAAAAAGAGTCCAGCACCCTATAGGTAATGACTGATCTTGGTTTCATTGCCATGAAGTGACTTGGAGTATTGCTTCTCCCTCCCCCCTTCTCCTCCCCCCCCCCCCCCAAGGATAAGATGTTATTTATTTGCAGGATTTTCTTTCCCCTCCCTCACCATTTTTTTTTAGATTCCCCTTGCAGTGCACCAACACCCATGTTCTACATAGGTAGAGGTTTTGTCTCTTTCAAGAGCAAAAAACACATTGAATCAGACTTCAAGAGTCCATCCTAAGCCTACTACATAAGAAGTGTTTAGAGATAAAATTTTGGGGCATTTTATTTGCTTTTTTTTATAAGAAAATATTTAAAACAGCGTAAGAAGACCTGTTAAAATAATTTAAGTATCAACAGTTCATCTCAGTGCTATGACCAACTCAAGAGAACTAGTCACACAAGATTTTAAGAAAGCTCTTCACTCAAAGAAGCAAGAAGTACTTTACTATAACCTGCAAATGAACTTTCTTCATTGCAGGTCAAAAAAGTAATTTCTTTATTTCCCTTCAAAGGATTGCAGTTCCAATAAGATATAAAAAAACAATCTGTATGTAAAATTCAGATCAGGAGAAGGAAGGGGTGGGGGAGGGGGGGAGAGGGGTAGTTTTAAGTGTGTAAAAGACAATTTGAAAGTAACAAATATCACCAAATGTGTTGTGAGATGAATCACCTCTAAACCTGTGGTTAGGATGTCTGACAAAATCTTAACAGTTATTTTGACAAAGATTGTTTATATTGATGAATACAGGTAATGGGTTAATAATATTTTTTTTATTTTGTGAATCTCTCATGAAAGTCTAGGACATTCCAGCACTATCGTGACTGCAAGGTCTTCAAATTCTAGTCTGTGCCCTCCATTTTCTTGTGAAAATTTTATTGAGTTAACCCTTTCACTCCTAAGATCTCATAAATAATTCTCCTTACTGTCTTCCGTAAAATTCTTACAATGCTGGTTTGGAAAATTTGGTATTGAATCAGCTAATAATCCTCTAATTGATATTTTTTACTATTCTTAAATCTCATTACTTGCCTGCCTACTATTGCATTGATAATGTAAGGAGAAATTCTGTTTTGGTCACTTATGGGAGTGAATGGGTCAAGGAGATGCTCTCTTTGCAAAATTTCTCTTAAATCATCATCAAATCATGTTTTTCCAAATAAAGTAATTTCAATTGTGGGGTGAAAAAAAGAAAAATGTTAAGCAACATGAATTCAAATGTTATGCCTTATGACAAACTGAGCATTTTTGCTGATAAGAAGATTAAGAAGGTGAATTTTTGGTGTTTGGAAAAATTATTATTTTGTGTCACTGCTATTGTTTATTTTAACAGATTGGCAAGGACCTTCTTCAGAAAACAGAATGTTTTCCCCATCATGGGGATTTGAATCCACCATATCCTTTAGTCAGCAGTTTCAGTTACCTATAGCAACTGGCAATGCACACACTGTTCATCATTATACATTCCCACAAAATTGGCACCATCCTGTCACACCACAGAGTTTCAAGTAAGTACTTTTGAAATGTTTTCATTTTATCACAGATGCACTCTTTGCCCACAAGAACACAAGCTGAAAGAAAATAGGAAATTATAGCATTGTCATATCATACTGATAAACTTTCTGCAACAATAAATGGTTGAAATGTAGTTAACAACGCTCTTTTTGTTGCTTGCCTCTTTTTATTTGGCTTTTCTTATCTTTTATAAATTCTTACTGGATAGGGTGTAAATGGGCCTCCTATATGGAGACAGCAGTTAAAAAGGAAGCATTTTTTTATTCCAAATTATCTTTCTTAAGAGGTTGATTAGTAAGTGGGGGGATTGTGCATCAGGCAACATCTTCCTGGCTTGAATTATATCAATCATAATGGCTATTGATGTTGCCTTGAATGCTATTTTCGGTATTCTTTTGCAGTAGTTATAATCTACACAGCAGTGATGTTTGGTATGGAGACTCCCCTCTGATGGATGGGGTAAATTGTTTTATTCTTATCTTCCTAATCTTTTATTACTCATAATATTCAATCCATCGGTTTCGCTGAGGGGTCATTTATTGTATGAGCCATACCTACAAATCTGCATTGTTTGATATGTACACCCCCCTTGAACATGCTTGCCATGTTTTCAATTGTCTTATTTTGAAAACATGTTTATCTCATTGTGTATTCAGCTTGGAGCTTTAGATGTTAGTGGTGATGTTATTGAACAAGATTCAAAAGTGACGTCAAGCACAGAAGGTAACATCATTCTTAGCCCTCTGTTCTGTTGCATTTAAATCTTTTGAATGTCAAAAATTGTTGAAAAATTACTTTCACCTTAAACATGTCAGTGTCAAGGACTAAATTTAACCTAATGAACTTGATTTTTTTAATTGCAGTATCACCATGGAAACCTCACTTGCCTCTTCCTCCTGTTTCAGAACTTTTGAACATATCAGTAAGAATTCTTATTTATGGCATGATACCCTAAATTGCATCTATTATTGACAACAGAGTTTTGTGAAAAATCCTGACCAACAGGGACAAATTCAAACATAGCAATTTAAAGTTAGAGCATGAAAACAAAACAACAACAACAACAAATTAAAAATGCACTTTTTTTAATTTTTTAATTTTTTAATTTTGTCCTCACTGGGCACGCAAATCTTTCGACAGTACTCTTTCATTTTTAGCATGGAACTTCGAAAACTTTGAGAGAAAGCGTTAGTCCAATGACAGAAGAAACAAGTCCATTGAATGCAACACCCACAATTTTACCTGACAAGTGTAAACAAGTTTCTGTAGCAAGCCCCAACATCAAAGGTAACTGTAATCAATTTGGAACAGAATTTAGATCAGTTCTTGGACCTTCTTTTATTATTTTACCAAGCAAACCCTTATCAAGGGATGGTGTCACTAGTTAGGGGGGGTATCTAAGGGTTTATGCGACTCCCTCTTCTTAGACAGAAAAGGTGATAATTCAGTCTCAAACAAGAAAAATATGGGTTGGTTGCCAGAGTGTGCCATCCCACCCTTTCCTCCACTGGAAAATTCAGTCTGTCCCTTTGATATACACCCCTCAGTGACATCTGTTCTATTACAACAGCAGTTCAAACTCAGACACCGTGGAAGTTAAAGAAAACTAAGTCTGCTTCAGATGCTAAGGGTCAGAGTCAAAGAAAAGGAAAGCCCCGAAAAATAGTTGACAAACTCGCATATGTCAAGCAAAAGATGGTGTAAGTAACAACTTCCTAATTAAGAAAGAGTTTTTCATGGGATAATCTGAGAGTGTCTTTTACTCTCTAATAGTGAATTGGTTGTAGTTTGGGATAGGTAGAAAAACATTTTTTGAAGCACTTAATACTAATGCCCATCAAAAAAATGCATCATTGGTTTGATCTCTGTTGTTTTTGCAATTTTTGTCCAAATGAAACCAACCTTCATTGATTAGTTTTGTAAAATATTTACCTACACTGGGTTGTTAAAGGTATTCAAAGAAGATATTAATTGTGCATCAAAAGTAGTCATTATCAACTCTAAACCTGGAAATATTTACTGGAAAAAATTATGAATTCTTGGATCTTCTCATATACAGGCAGAAAGAAAGAGAGAGTGCCATAAGAGATGAACTTCAAAATCTGAGTGCAATTTTACCTTGTAAAGACTTGAGAAATGGTCATCCTTCAAGGAGGGAAATACTTGAAACTGCAATTAGTCACATCATGCAGCTTCAAGAAAACATTAGAGAGGCTTATCTCCAGAGAGGACTGAAAACAGAGGACTTGCAAGCTATGTTACAAAACAGTGGCATGTCCAGCTTGAACCAAAACTGTTTTCACAGCACAGCTGGGAAACAAAGTGATGCAGCTATGTTCTCTGAGGCATCTAACAGCCTTTGCAGCACCCCTGAACTTGTCATTGAAGAAAGCATGGCAGCAAGCTCTGCATCACCATTCTCAGATTTAAGCAGCCAAGGGTCAGAGATAGAAGAGGAGGCTGTAGCTCGCCCCTCTGAAAATGAAAGCACTACTGAAACACCTGTTAATTATATCAAAAGGCCCATGAATGCTTTCCTTTGGTTTAGCAAACAATACCGTGGAGAATTCAAGACACAGTATCCTGGCAGAGATAACCGGGAGATTAGCACCATTCTTGCTAAACATTGGAGAAGCATGATCCCTGAGCAGAAGGAGCCATTTAAGGAGAGAGCAAGGGAAGATATGAGAAGGACAAGAGAGACATATCCAGATTTCAAGTACTGCAAAACCAGGAAAGAAACAACCCTGGCCCAAGCCTCAACCAACAGAAGTGAGAAGCCAGATGGTTGGGGTCAAGGATACAGGTTAGAAAAAGAAACTCAAAGAAAAAAAGAGTTTTATAAGTTTAAAATTGACATAGAGTTTGAAAACTATATGAAGGAATCGTATCACTAGTCATTTTTTAAAAATATTTGAATAGTAATTTCAGGTGTCTGATACTTACAGGCAAATGAGAGACAAAAATATATATTTTTTTATTCTGTTTTCTTCATCATCCACTCTTTCAGGATTGGTTCTCACAATCTACGACACAGGTATGTACATGAAAGATCTTGCTTTTGTTGGTTAGAGACGAATGCATGCTAATCCTTATAATTTGGTGTTCCATTCTCTTTCCAAGAAAACAAAAGTGGGTTTCCAAATCTGTAAATCTTGTGATATTTTGGATTACACGCTAAAGCCTATAACTTTTCAGAGCTGGATGTGAACTGGCAACAGAGTTAATATCTTTACTAAGTATTTTGATAACAAGGTGTTCCTCAACACCAGCAATGTGAGTGATTTAGGCAGTAAGTAAATCAGCAAGTAATCTTACAGGTTCATTTGTATGTAATGTGTCAATCAATTTGGAGCTTTGACATCCCCCCTTGTATAACCCTTGGGCATTAGAACTTTTAAAGATTTTTTTGTTCAAATTTCCCTCCCCCACATGTCAAAAATTTTATTCAAATGCCCCACCTAATATTTTAGGCAAAATCAGCAACTGCAAATTTCTACACATTGACCAAGATTTATAACCTTGACCTTTTTCTCTGAGCCATTCGCATGAGAAAGTGAACCACCAACCTTTAACACCTCCATATTTAGGGATATGACACTTTGGTGCTGCTGGAAAGATTTGACACTTCCTGTTCAAATTCCCCACCCCAGCCAGGCAAGGTTCAAATTTCCCACCCCCACATGCCTAAGGGGAGGGGGTGGTGTTGAAGCTCTTACAATTGTTTGGCACATAACAGGGTGTGAAATTGTGCCAAATACAGGTGCCAATGCAACTAAATTGTTCACTTTGGCGACCAAATCCTGAAAATTAGTCGCCAAATTGGCAACTAGAATGCTTCTTCATAACCTAACCTAGAGATATAGTGGATTAAAAAGATTTGCAAAGATAAATCTGCAGCAAACTTCCTGGTTAAGTTTATGTTCAGAACGCAGCACACGCATCTCGATTGATAACTAGACACAATCTTTGCTTTAGGTGAGCTTGAACATTGTATATCATCTATCCTAGTGTCCACTTTGTAGCACGTTAAAGATCTTTTTCCTAACTTAATTTTAGAGGGTCTATCTAGAACGTTGACAGGGTAAAAAAAGGGTTTTGTTTGTCTTTTAAAATGGTGACAAACTTTTTTTGAATTGGCTACCACTTTGAAAAATCTAGGAGCCAAGTGGCTATCAGAAAAAAATAATAATTTCATGCCTTGCATAAGCCAAGTGTGTTTGTCACTGATGACAAACTTTTTACCTACGTGTATGAAACTGTAAGGAATGCTGAATACTTCACTTATACTAACTTCATTTCATGCTTCAGAAATACCATTATAAACACAACTGCAAATGGCAAAGGAAAAACTCCTGTCACAAAGAAGGTAGATGCTTCTTGCAAACAAAGTAATTTGAAACCAAAAGGTATGGTCTGAATTCATACATTGAAAAGTGTTTGATCCCAGCTTATTCCTGCCAATGGCAGATTTTTTATGCCCAATGAAAAAATTTTGCATTTATGCCTGGACTGACACACTGTTTTAGCGTATGACTGTTAAAACTTGGTCAAATCAATGAAGAAATGTCAAGTCTTAGAATCTGTTCATACTTCCTCAAAACCTCTGATTTTATGAAGCTGGCTTTTTTGGGGAACCCTTTGGAACATCTTAGGGGCATCTGTAAATAATTAAGGAGTAATTAGAACAAATTCCAGCATTTTAGGGATAAAAATATCATGACTTTGAGTCAAGAAAATTTCAGGAACAAGATGATAGGATTTAAGTCTGGTGATTGAGAAGGAAGATGGAATCATCATTATTCTGCTTTAAAAGTGTGTATTGATTTTCTATGGGCATGGCACCAAAAGGTGTCTGCAATCCCTTTTTTTATTATTATTGCAAACTTAAGGTCATCAGACAAAAGTTAAGTCAGAAACAACTGCACCAGGGATAACAGAGAAAGCAAGCACCTCTGCTGAAGATGAAGTGAAGATGATAACAAAAGGAGTTACTCAAAAAGAAGATGGAGACCAAGTTAGCAACTGTCTCAAAGACCAGATCAAGAGTTTATGTCAGGATGGTGCCTCTGGAGCTGAGACAAAGTTTGAGTGGTGTTCCACTTCATGCGACAACTGGGTTCAGTGCGAAAACTGTAAAAAGTGGCATATGTTACCTGATAATAGTAACCCCTCCAGTTTGCCTGACAAATGGTGAGGGAGATGGTCTCTGACTTCTTTGATGAGACCTACATTAGAGCCCCGCAAACTCAAACTCAGTTGACTTGAACATCCCGCTAATTTTAACCAGGTCTGATTTCCCCCATGGATTTGACCCCATTTTCTAAGTCATTTACCATCAGTTCACTTAAAATCCCCTTTAAATCTAACTAATTCTAGTTGTCCTTGGCTCAAATTTACCCTCCAAGCTTGAACATGAACTGAACCAATCCTACCGACTCAATTTTTCACTTTCTCTTGGGAGTTTAAGTTAGCAGGGTTCTACTATGCATTCAGATTGGGATGATTTGTTTCAATACCTGAGAAACACAGATTTCTTTATAGACACACATAAATGATGTAATCTTTTATGTGGTTTCTCACTTTACTTTTTGGGAATATAATGGTGACTATTGCAGCACCTTTGTGTAAATTCATTCATATTTATTATGTTGCTGACTCTACTATGTTTTCATCTGCTAGGTATTGTTGCCAACATGTTGACTTGCCAGCATAAGGAGAACCAAAATGAAAGCACAGAAGTGATGTTTTGTTGTAGCAGTATGATCTGACACTCAGATTTCCTCTGTTCATAATAGTATTTTGTTGACAAGGTAGACCGCACAGCAATCCAATCATCAGTGACATTTGATTGGTAAATAGTATGAAGTTCTTACCTATGTATGTCTGATAGTAGTGAGATCATCACTTCTGTTCAAAAATTATCCCTAAAAACCCTCCCTTTTTTTTAAAAAAAGATTTCATTTTATGCGATTACTTAAAAAAAATCCCTTGACAAGCTAAGTTCAAACCACTTGTCATGAGGGTTTCCTTGTGCTTTCAGGTTATTGGAAGAAAACAAGTTTCTGCTCTAAGTTCATATGAGATTATCTTAAAATACAAAACTAGAACAAATGTGTTCAAGTGTCACTCTAAAATTTCATCTGGCAGAGTGAAGCATTCAAATTGTTTCATTAGGAAGTCTTCTAGATGTCTTTTATTTGCATTGCTTAGGGTTTCAGTTCATGTTATGTATTACAAAGTGTTTTATTCAAGAACATTTTCTTATGCCTTCTCATTAAGTAGTCTCAAGTAGTTCAGCTTAACATGGTTTCATCAGTTTGACAAGTCAAAGCTTTAAGAGAATTTAATTGGAAACTTGATCATAAACCTTTATTAGATAATTATGTTTAAGTTATTGTAGGTCATGTAGTCACTTTGGATTTCAGTGTCACTTTAATCATCAATATTTTGAATTTGAAACAAGTGGCAAAAATTATTTTTCATTTTTTTATGCATAAATAAAAAAAATGGTTATGATTTTTTACCCATTAAAACTAGTTACGATTTTTGATATTTAGGCTTTCTGGTAGGTTTTGAAAGACTTGTAACAGTTGTGTTTTTGTTCGCCAGTCACTTTTTAAAGTAACTCTTGTAATATATTCTTAAAAAAATAATTTTGAACATCTTAGATTGAGTTCAGCTTTACACAAAGTTATGGAATTTAACTTTGAAATTTGTAACGAGTTGTTGAAATTATAAGCATAATCAAACAGTATACTTGTGGAATACGGCAATAATTTCATTGGCATTTGTTTAAATTCTTCAAGTTTTCTTTGCCTAAAGGTTCAGAAAATTATTAGAATTTTGACAGAACATGTGTAAAATTATTTCCTCATTTCACACATCATCATTTTATTTCATAAACCAGTGTTGTGGCATCATCTCACAAATTGTTGAGTTTTAGTGGTAAGTCAGTTATTGACACTTGCATAACAAATTTAGCAATATTTAACATGTCCAAGGAGCTTTGTCATAGTTTAAAAATCTTGAAAAACTATACACAAAAACTAAGGTTTAATTTGAAGGCAATCTGTAGTACTGAAAAACAAACAGTTAAAATAGTGACAAAGCCCCTCTGAGGCCTTAAAATTTCAAGATGTAACAACCTTAGCTTAGAAGACATATTGCATTTCCAAATAAAGTATTAATTTTTATACTTTGTAGTTATCTGTTATCAAGTTTTGTGCTCTTTATGATCCACCCTCCCTCCTTTCACTGTGTGAGCTGGCCATACAAGCAACAAGATTCAACTCTACTTTTTGTAATGTCCTATAAAGAAACATGCTAGATTTTCACAAAACAAATTGATATGATAAAATACCTACTAGTTTAAATAGGCTATTTCAAACCCATATTCTAAAGATAGACAGGTGAACTCACATCAAGTGTTTTTAGATGCGATGTTCATGATATATTTTATTGTAAACAGCTGTAAAAGCCATTACAGATAACTAGAGTGGTATGATTGATTTCATAACAAATTAGTAAGAGGTCTAAATTTTTTGTTTAAAAGTAGCAAGTGAAAGTATGTCTGTTTATAAAAGGGAATGTTTTTAAGAGAAATTACTTTCACTACCAGATTTGATTCTCATTTCAGAAAAAAAAAATTCCTTCAAATCCAGATTTTTTCAGAAGTCTTAATATAATGTTATTAAAATGTAAGGAAAGCCAAACACTAAGAAAAGTGCCATTGCATGCAATCATTCACCTTTAATTTTAAATGCCAAGGTTTCTGCATTGCTTGAAAACTAAAACTATGTTCCATTCCTTCAACTGGTAATATGGTGTATTTTAACCAAGCTAATAGTATCCTGGATAGATTTAAGCCCTCATAGGGAATGAAAAACTGATTAAAACTAAGGGAAAACCTTGGATGCTAAATGTCTGTTTAGCTGTATACCACACATGATGTAACATTTTAATCCCTTCACTTCCAAGATCACATGTTATCTAAGGGAATTTGGTACTGTATTGATATTGTAAGGAGACACTCTCTCTCGGTAACAAATGGGAAGTAAAAGAGTTAATGCATTAATTAACACTCACTGAGGGCTCTTGTGGCCTTTTATTGTTCTTTCTACGTTTTGATGTCATTAGTGATCTATAACTGAACAGACAATATGCCAGAAGAAATCTGTCAAATAAAATAGTTCATTTATAATGTTTGCAACATGTAATGTCCAATGTTTTACTGCTTTCAGTAACAGTAAATGTATTTTGTACATTACAGTATCCTCATGGCTATCAAGTCCCAGCATTGGCTTATTTAATAATTGGCCTTGGAAAGCTCAGTAAGTTTCTTCTTTGAAGGTGTAGCTTGCTCAAGATGGTCTTCAGCTGTACTTTGCATACTTCCATCAATAGGAGAAGTGTGCTTTCTCTTTCCTTGATTCTTAGGGCTTTCCCTTGTTGCTTCTTTACATGCCATTATACTTAGGTTACTCAGTAAGCTGTCAACTCTGCCAGGTTTTGGCATTCTTGTTTCAGCTTGCTTGGACAGGCGCACTGTTGTCAGGTTGTTTTCAGTCTTGGTTCCAATCCTTGCACGCACTTTATAAAGCTGAGTGACTTTGTACACATCATTGCGTTCCCTGGCAGTCATGGGCTGCAACTCACATTCCTGTTGTGAAGCATCAGCAACAAACATGGAGATTTGAGAGTTGATGTTGATGAGAAAACTCATGTCACCAAGTGGTTCATCTTTGTCTTCCCTGGTCCAGAATTCTCTCTCTGAGGATTTCTCATTGGAGCTTGTCATCTCATGAATAGTGAAGATCTCTGGTTCCTTCTGAGAACTTTCCTCCTTTGCTTCAGATTTGCCTTCCATTTCATCCTCCCCAGGCTCTGGTGCCATAACATCATAGCCTGACTTTGACTTTTTGGTACTAGAAAGCTTCTTTTTTTGTGACTTTTCTTGTAAAGGTGATGGCTTGCTTTTCTTTCCTTTTGATTTCTTTCTAGCTGCTGCAGGAAAAATGACCTCTCCAGAGCTTTCTGCTTGAAAAACTTCTGATTCATCTTTACCAACTGGGCTCTTCTTCTTTCCTTTCTTAACATTTTTGCTGTCTGCCAAGTGATTCACATTACTTGTGGAATCTTCAAACTCCTTGATGGAATTTTCCAACAATGCCTTACTTCGGAATCCCTTCTTCTTTCTGTCTTTTTCAGAGATGTCCTTCAACTTTACCTTGCATTCCAGTATCACAGCTTCTGATTTCTCTTTAGCCACAACATCTTCATTTTCCATTTTCTTAGCAATCTTTGAAGGTAGATTCTGGTTGTGAGAACTTTCAACTTCATCTGCTTCATCAGAAGAACTACCAGTTTTCTTGAATGGCAATTTCTTAGAGCATTTTTTCAAGTTTCCTTTCTTAGCTTCTTTTGGAAACTTAGATGCCTGCTGTTCAGGAGGCTTATTCAAAGCACCAATTACTGAAACATCTTTGCCATCAGTACTGCCAGACTCAAAAGGATTTGGATCACTGTCTTCTGTGTTTCCATCATTTCCTCTTAAAACTGACTTGCTCCTGCTGAAAACAATGGGGCTCATATAATTAATTCTACAGTTGTTTAACTTTTAGAATGGTGCAAATGGTTTAAAATTTGTATCATAAAATAGATTATTACTTTTGAAGAAAATCATTTTTTTTTCTTCATTCATCATCTGCAATCATAAAATGGTAAACAAGCTGACTGGTGGCATAAACTTCATGGTGGTCAGTATGATCATCAAAGCAAACTAGGGTTACTGTCATACAAACTCACAGCAAAGGTCTCCATAGGATGGTGATAACCTTAATTATATGTGTAGCACTTACAGGAACAATTTTGTGATGAACTAACATGTTAGTTTATAATTGTTTCCAGTGATCATTGGTGCATTCATACACTCCATTGTTCACTTTGGTTCTTTAACCCCTTGTTAACCCTTTCACGCCCAAGATCTAATCAGTAATTCTCCTTACTATCTGCCATACAATTCTCATGATGTTAGTTCAGAGAATATGGTATTGGATCAACTAATAATCCCATAATTGATATTCTTCTCTATTCTCATCACCTGCCTGCTTGATATTGTATCGATATTGTAAGGAGAAATTCTGTCTTGGTCACTTGTGGGAGTGAAAGGGTTAAACCACATATAGTGACTTGCTACTAGGTTCTCCTCTTCGTATCACTCTTTAATTCAATGTAAGGGTCATGAGAATAATGGAAATTATCACCAATTCAAGAAGCTTCTGATTGTCAAACAAATTCTCCCAGTCATTGTCACAGGAAATGTAGAGAGATCAGTGTGGAGAATATGAATACTAATGTTAGTGTATAAAAGGGTTAAATTGAAGCCTTATTTGAACCATAATTATTTAATCATAGTCTACTTACAAAAGGGGATTTTCAGTGGTTTCTTCGCAGTCATTGTTGCTGCCATTTTCTTTACTGCAACCATCAACCTCTTCAAGATGTTTTACTCTTTCTTTCAGGCAAGCTATTTCATCCTCAAAGCTGCTTCTCTGGGAATCAAAATGTTCTTCCAGGTGTTTTACTTCTGTGAAATAAATGAACCAAATATATAATTACAATTTAAATTGAGAGTTACACCTTGAACAACAAAAGAAAAACTTTCTTTTTAAGTGACAGGTGTTACACTTATTCCAAGAGGGAACCATGACTGGA